TTTCCTTCCTTGGAGCGTGTACGTATTGATAAAGGATAAATGAAGGGTAAAGCTGTTGGCGTTGATCAATCCCTGAGGGATGCGCCATGCATTCGATTTCATTAAGTATCATTGGAGGTGATTGAATGCATATCTGGCCTTTACCGTCCTGATCTACCGATGTGTCGAGCCAGTGCTGCTATCCTTCCAGACAAGCCTTGTACCAATTTGCCGACACCGGAGAGATGGAAGGCTTGGTGGGCCATGGGCGCGGGGATCAATTCCACGTGTGTGTTGTAGGGGACCTCAGACCATTGCGCCACACGCGTCCTATACGTATTGATACACAGCTTTATTCGGTGAATATTCTAGTTTCTATTTGTCAAAACTGTTTTCAATTTTCACGAAATGAGTCCACAGGTATGCTGTTCACGTAGGATGATAAATAACGCACCGGTTGTCACTAAGAGGCATCGTGCGCGATCCATTATCAATTTTGGACAACTTAGATAAATTGACATTTCTAACGGCTGGCAAATCAGAGTTAAAATTTCACGTTAGATATAACGCTAAATCATATGTAAATGTGAGGCATTCGTCCTTTCCATTCATCTCCAGATTTTCAAACTTTATTCAAAATGTCTCAAGAGTTTGCGCATTGATGTTTTCGATTAGTGCGTCAGACCGTGACTGGTATTCCTGAATCATCACCGTTGCGCTTCTTCGCGCTGTGTGTGCAGTACTGCTTCCGTCTTCCCATCTAGGTGTTCCCTCACGCGGCCACAAAGTGATCTATGTCTTTTAAACATATCGTCACTTTACCTCTGCATTAATAATAAGTAACTTCTTGGATTGTTAAGCTAACGCGAGATTAACAAAGATATTTATTCGGCCAGTGTTTCGACGCCTTCGTCTTCCTCAGAACCGATCCATTTCAATGGTCCATAGTCGTTCCTCTTCTCGATGTGTTGTCTTCGTCGTCGTTTTGAGACCGATTCGGCAGAGAGACGTGAAGCAACCTCACCTGGCAATGCTCTTTGATGGTTATGACAAAGTGGTCGAGTAGTCTATCTGTTTCGCTAATGTATTCAGCACCACATACCTTACAAGAGATCCCATTCTCCGATGTTAGAGCAAATCATGCAATTTTGTTCCGTACCTATGCCTTTCCTCCCAATGGTTTACCGCCTCATCGTGGTTGGGAACTGTTCTTGGGTGTCAGGTTGCGGGGGAATTCATCCCCCAGCAGGGTCTCCCAAGCTGAGAAGGAGTCCGACGTTTTCAGCCTAGCTAAGAGTAAACCAATACCAGGATGCACCACCGTTCTGGTATCAAAGTCACATAGTGGCGAATCTCCGTTTGATCCACAAGGGCTGCGACCGCCTGTGGTGTGACAATCTGGGGCAGTCTTTGGCCAGGCTGACCTCGGGACTCCGGGGAACTACAATAGCTTAACCAGCAAATCTCCGGAAAATGGAGGTTGTGCTGGGGCTCGCACAACCAGCGAGGACGGGCCATTCAAGTAACAAGTATCAAGTACCTATGCCTTCAGACAAGCGGTTTCAATGATACCATTGTAAATTTTGTATAAAATAAAACTGCATAGTTTGAAGAGACGACGAGGACGGGGGTTTCATCAGGTCAGATATAATATAACTGACATCTGTAAGACATCTGATGAGAAACACATTGGCAAAACGGGTAAACCACTTTGTGTCGACATCAAGAGACACCTCGGTGAATTAGTTAGAGTTCGCTAAAGTACTCACAACGGTGATAAATTTACAGTCACGATCCTTAAACTGGATGACTGGGAAACGTCAAGAGCTCTTTCGTCGCCCAGTGAATCAAAACGGTGCATTCCTCTCACACGTGGCTTGGCGCTGTATCTCAGTCAAGTATTTCATCAAATAAAAATTACGAACGTCACTGTACACATGAGATTGTCTAAAAATTTTTTCAAAAATATTTAATAAAAATAACGATAAAAATTTTATGTTGATCAGCATCCGTCTTATTTCTTAGAAAAGGAAAACGGTGGTTGCTTTCTTACAGATTAAACCTTGCGCATTGACTCCTGATTAAGAAAAGAGTAATTTTATAGAAATAGTGGAAGTGAAAATAAGAATACTCATCGAATAAAGGCTTTACATCAGATGCTCTACATTCCGGGTCAGAAGTAGGGAAGTAGCTGAAATTAACTAGGCTAGTTCTTAGTATGTTAGTTGGCCAGTGGATTAGGGAGCTGGTCGGATTTGTCTTTTGTCCGCCAACTGTACGTGGAATGCTCGGCTTTCTATGAATTCGCCACGCGGGACTTTTTTTCGTAACTACCGTGGACAACCTCAAGTTTGGTTTGTAACAGTTTATAGCAATAACAACAGTACAACAATAATATGTAATACGTTAAATAGCTCCCGGATAAAGGTCATCCGAAAGGCTACGCAGACTTATCAAAAGGTCATGTAAATGAGATGGAATAACGGGGGGCTTCACAGAGGGACTCAGAGACAGTGCTGACCCAGGTCCTGCGGAGAAGTACATCAAATGAGACGGTATACCAGAGGCTTTTATCGAAGCTACATATCGAAACGGTATTAAAACTTATACATTATGAATGGATAGATTTAAGATAGGTATAAGTAAATACTTAATATAGGACACATGTGATATTGTAGAGAATAGGAACTATTTAAGGAATAGTTACTATGCTTAGTAATAACACATTTCTTAGTGTTGACTACACTTAAGAGTACTATTCGAGGGTGTGTGTAGCTCAGTGGACCGGAGGCGTCTTGCAGCAAACCTGGGATCGATCCCTCCTTCCAGAGCTCCTTTATCTTTTATCCATTAATACTATTAGACGCAAAAAGTAATGCCTTATTTTGAACGGCAATTTTTAAATGCGGCATATGGGAAATTTTATTATCCAAATTAAGAATCGTTAAGCGATAAGAGATAAAGCATTCAGCGTTGATCAACCGATAAGGGATGCGCCATGTATTTGACTTCATTAGGCACCGTTAGAAGTGATTGAAAGTACATGTAGCCTATACGATAGCTTGAGGTGTGCTGCCAATGTATTAAATCAGTACCGCTCTCCTCCAAGGCAAGTCTTCCACCAATCTGCCGACTCCAGACGGGTAGAAGGCTTGGTGAGCCCAGGGCTGGGATCGAGCCAACGACCACATATGTATTGTAGGGCACATGTAATTACTACTCCACTACATTCTTTGAAATTAAGGATTTCGGGAAGTGGTGATAATACGATTCCACTGCTGTGAGAGAACAATCTCAACCATCCTTAATATATTACAGGTTAAATATTAGAAAAAAACATTAAATAAAAAGTAGATGGATAGATTATAGGGTCTGGAATGGCTTGCAGCAACGATGTAGATAATGAATATTTAATACTTTTCACATGAAGTCACTTATTTTATGGGCATTCTATATAAGCGGCGCGTAGAGCACAGCGGAAAGAGGTGCTCTGTAATACACACTGATTCACTCTTTTCTTTTAAGCTCTTTTTTTTTCCTCTTTTTCATTTCTTCTTTTCTTTTCTTTCTTTCTTATGGGCAAATTCTACATTGTTATTGCAGTATTCATTTATTTACAACACTAACTGACGTTTCGGTGGTTAGTCTTCACCAGAGCCTGGAAACGTGAAATTTATTGAGGCTATCTACTTAAATGGTGCTGAGATATTTGCAAAACTTCGGACCGCAGGTGTCTGCGGTGGCGAATGAACGCGCTATTGTCGTTTCCGGGGAGTAACACGTTCACCACCACACCATACGGGTCCTTCGTTTCACCTGTCTCTTAGCTAGTTCTATCGAATTCTGCCATCAGCAGTCACCCGTTTATCTACTTAGTCAAACATTTTCATAATGTGTGCAGGAAAATCTTCGGGCAGAAATTTTTATTCGCATAGTAAATAGATTTTTTTAAACACTCATCGTTTTATTTTACCTTTTATTTTCCCAGCCCTACCCTACCACAATTTTCACGGCAGGGTACTATGCGAAATACAACCACAACGTTGCTGAGATATTTGCAAAACTCTGGACCGTAGGTGTCTATATCATCGTTTTTTTCTTTGTAAGTCTTTCAGTTGTCTGATGGAGACCATCCACAAAGAGTAATAGATGGGTGAGGAATGTGCGTAGCTCAGGTCAGAGAAGCAGCCTGAGTAAGGTGCAGAGCTAGGTCACCTGTGATCACAAAACACTCCTCCTTGTGGTTCAACTTTGAATTTTTGCAGTTAATCGGAAGTGCTTCAAGAGTTTTACGCGCTGATGTTTTGGATTCCTGTGCGAGGAAAGTGACCTTTACTTCAAAATCTTCTCCATTATGGTTCTGCGCGGTTTTGTCCTATGTGCGCCTAGTGGAATGTTTCGTTTAACTTCAAGTTTACCGACTAAGTGCTCTTTTATACAAAATCAGAGTGGCTAATCCGTTTTGCGATTGTACTGGGCCCACATGCTTTACAAGGCATTAGGTACGCCGTACCCGAACTCATGCAATGCCGCCCCTACCATTAGGGCAATTTATACAGTTTTGCACTTTGCATAGGCGGTGATACAATCGGTTACGAACTAGCTGACGTCTGAGAGTGTCCGGTGGTATTTCTATCACTCCTATCGATTCTTCTATATCGGCTATTTTTATGTAGCGTTTTATAATTGTACTTACTTTATGTTTGACTTTTACTTATTTTCTATGCAGAGTGTTATGTTAAATACAACCACAATGGTGGTGAGATAAGAGCAAAATTTGGAACCACAGAACAGGCTTTGAACCCGCAATTACCCTTTCCAGCGGGCTTCACGTGTTATCCACTACACCAGGGAGCCCCTTAATTTGTTTGGCCAACTTTTTTTTCAGGTTATACCTATTTCGTTAGAAATCAAAGGCAATATGAACGAGACCTTATTTCCACTACTGTTATCGTTTTGGAACGTGGCTTTTCCTCTTGACCTATTTCGAGCCACTCATCTTTTATTAATGATACAAAAAATAATCTAGTGCTTCTAGGATCTGCCAGCGGTTATCACCCGCTTACATTTGGATTCCTTGTCGACTGTATCATTCGTCGAGTAGACAAGAAAGGGCGAGACTTGAAAACTTTCTTTTTGGAGGAAATCGCTCGACCGAATGGTAAACTTATAATTTCAACTGATATATGTGGCAATGTAACCTCTTAAAAGTAGACCACTATTTTAATTATGCTAACTTACATTATTTTTCAACGGTATGCTTCTTTGTAAGGGCATAAGCGAAAAATTATATAGAGATCAAAGCGACTTGCCCCTTGAAGGTTGTCACCAGGTGGTGACGCCGAGGTTGACAAGGAGCTAAGGGGAATATTGTTCAAGAAAAGCAGAACTATAGCTAAGAGTAAATTTTTTTCAGTCTTAGGTCATCTCACTGCAAGATTCCGATCATACTCAGTGATAGATAATCTGCATCCGAGTTACAGCGCTGTTTTTACTCTTTTCCTTCGCTGCTTAATATTTCGTCGTGAGAAATGGTGAACGGCGACCGGTTGAATGATGAAACTCTTGGTAGTTGTGTATCTTTCTATCTAATCATAAGCATTGAATAAGTTTTCCAGACCTCGCGATCGACATCGGAGTAGATCCAGAGGAATGGTGGAAAGTTGCGCGTATAACAACTCCGACCCTGTGGGAGTTCTTCCGTGACTCCATCAGAAATCCAAAACTGATCGTCATGCTTGCTATAATGTATGCTCGCTTCGATGATATTATATGGAAAATCAAAGCCAACACCAAATGGTTGCTGATAAACTACGTGAGCTTTCGACTCATTTAAAGACTACTTGACTCTTACTGTTTTTAGAAAATTGTGGAGTTGTAAGAACGTATTTTACCCTTTTTCTGGTTGATTTCGCAACTAGCTATATTTCATGGCAGAAATCTTTGAAAAATCGCAATCTTTTAGTCTCTAACAAGAGATCTAATGCGCTGATGTTCACGTCGTGTCAGTAACTCTGATTTACAGCTATTACATTAAGCGCGTGTGGCGCAGTGCTCAGAGGTGTCCTGCGAGACACACATGGGATCGATCCCCCCACCCATGGCTCGCCAAGCCTTCTATCCCTCCGAGACCGGCAAATTGGTACCAGACTTGTCTAGGAAGAAAGCACTGGCTCGATACATCGGTAGGACACCACGAGTTAATGAAAAGGCCAGATATACATTCAATCACTTCCAAACGATGCTTAATGAAGTTGCATGTATGGGGCATCCCTAAAGGATTATCAAGGCCGAGAGCTTTCTATACGTTATTTAGGAAAACTCCCATTTAGCTTTACTTGTAATTAGCTTTATGAAGTGCTTTCCATTGATATCTCATTAACACTAGCTCATTAGTTCATCTGTTGTTCTCAATGGAATTTTTAGGGCGTGTTGTTAAAGGCACCCACAGGGACGATCGTCGATCTGATTTTGTGCACAGGGTTTAAAAAGTCTTCGACCATTCAGGAAAGATTGGTGCTAAACTAGTCTAGGAGGATATCAACTTTGACTTAATACACAGATAGCTCCCACGTGTTCGCTCATTGTACAGGTCTGATATGCCTTCAATCACCTCTTCGATACTTGGTGAAGTCGAGTGCTTAACTTATCACTGAGGAATTCATCAAGGCAGCACGCCTTATCTTTTGCTCTTTATTCAAATTCTCAGCCTTTAATGTGCTAACGGTAAAGAATTTTCATAACTTTGCCCTCCGCCCAGCTGTTGAAACTGTCACCACCTATGTTCTGCTCGTCAAATGACTGCAATGGATGAGTTACTTATGCATAACCTACTTAAATCTAGGTCTTGTCCTAGCCATAAGGCTGAAAACATTAACGAAAGCCGTGGGAAATCCTTGCCAGAAGTGTTTGGAACAATTTTAACGATAAACTCGGTTCGAATGTTTGCAGCTGATAGACGAAGTCATCGTCATTGCTGTGCGGTGTTTCTGATAGAAATCTCTCTTTTCTTATCAGTAAAGTAATGTTGTCAAAAGTAATTGGAATATAATTTCTATAATGCTGAAATATATGCAAAACTCCGGACCGCGGGTGTTTGCAGTGGGGAACGAACGCGTTATTGTCCTTTCCTGGGAGTACACCACCACACCATGCGGGTCCTTCGTTTCGCTTGCCTGTCAGCTAGCTCCATCGATCTTTTGCCATCAGCAATCTGCGTCAGCGGGATTGATCTGGTGAGTCTAAATCAGTGTTGAGCACAGTTAAGCTGAGGCTATGGTTATAATAGAAGATAGAACTAACTGAGAGACAGGCGAAGCGAAGGACCCGCATGGTGTGGTGGTGAACGCGGTACTCCCCGGAAACGACAATAACGCGTTCGCTCCCACCGCAGACACCTACGGTCCGGTGTTTTGTATATATTTCAGCACTATAGAAGTTATATTTCGCAACATGCCCTGCCATTAAAAAGAATAGGCAGTAAATAAAAAGGTTAAGTAGTTGGAGTGTTAGGCAGAAGTATTCGAGATGTAGGGAAAGAATAATTATTGATAAGGAACACCCAATGACAGTGTTTAAAACCTTTCTTGATTTTATGTGCATTGCGAATTGTAAACCGAGTTCAAGAGAACCTTCCAGTGAGCAGTGTGGTCCTCGGATGACTGCTGTTTCTTTTCAGGATACGATGTCCGTGAACGATCCGGAAGTACTCGCGCTGGCGTTGCCGGCCCTGACAGGCGTCGCCAGCGCTTCAGACCTGTCGCGACTCTTCTCCCTGGCCATCGACGGCTCTTTGCTGAGCAATCGTACTCTGAAGACGATCAGCTCGCCGACGCTTGACAACTGGTATCTGGAGAAGGTCGGCCTTTCGCATACACATCAGTACTATTACTCGCTCCTTCCTTTATTTATATGACCTTTTTGTTTTACATTTATACTAGACATAATTGGAGCGTTTACAACGAGACAGTAATTGACACCAAAGCTTGTCATCGCCTTTGTGCTTAATATGCAATCTACACCAAAAGGGATGGATAGGTGTTTTAAGCCTTTTTTCTTCACTGACGATCTAAAACAAGACATTGGTCATTTGCACTGTGGTTAGATGAAAGTCAGTTTAAACAATTTGTTGAATGAAAGTCAGAAGATTTAAAATTCTCCCAAGAGCAACTGAGAGAAAACTGGCTTCCATTTTTGAACGTTCAAAGTAACCTATCCCAAATCAACTAGATCACCAAGCGATACCAACGTACTGTTTCTTTACTACTCCTCTCACCTTTAATACACAAAAAGGGCACTTTTGAAAAACATGTTTTGAACAGTCGTCAGTGTGTGTACGGGAGGTAGCAGAACGAACAATCTCTCAACGTGACACGAAAAATAGCCATTCCCAGTACTCGCAATAGAGGAGAACTACACCCTAAGACGATCAATCTTGCAAGAGTATGGTTGCGTTTCACTTGCACATACTACCTGAATAGGTCATTTCTAGAGAAATCCGTGGGGTACTGATCTCTCACCAAAGTCTCTACTGCGCCAGTTGGTTCATAGCCACTTATACCGATCGTTTATACCCACCAAAAAAGCGGGGACACTTGGACAGAAAGATAGACATGGTGAGTTGGAATATGGTGTATCGGATTTATTCTAGAGCGTGGTAGCCGAATGCATAGCAAGATAGATAGGTGGTTTCGTATTCTCACAAATGAACATCTAGACGGGAGACTTAAGAATCAAAAACGTCGGTGGGTAGAATATTGACGAACCTTGGACAAACTTCAAAAATCCAAAGACGGGACAGAAACGGTGATCTCTCTTGACTTCGCTCTATACATCTTTTTATTTTACACGACCTGTATTCACATCTACTGTGTGGATCCCAACATTTCTCGCATTCGATTTGTCTCCTCGCATCCATCATTCACAAAGCTCTCCGAACTTCTCGCATGTGGGTTCAGCTGGTAAATGAGCGTACTCTATGAATGTCGTTGGTGAAAAAAGTCACTACCAGTCTTCTCTCCAAAAGGTACCCTTTTACAGGCAGGTTACCGACCTAGGTGAAGACCCGTCAACAGTCCAGTAGTAATGCTCCTGAATGTAAACAGAATAACGCCCGGTATTGAATTGGTTCGTTGACATTCATGAAACAGACCAAATTATCAAGAAGCAGTAGAAACTATACCCAATTCCGAAGACGTTTCTGATATAAAATACGAGGAAGCGAATCGAATGAGTGAAGCGCGCAATATATAGAGGAATTATACAAAAATTTTAGAACTATGTAGAAAGTTGTTTTAAGACTTTTGGTAGATCTAACATTTACTTCGACAAAAACGGTAATTGGTTGAGACAATGAGGTGTGAGGGAGATGTCATAAGTTATTTTTCGAATTAGGAATCGTAGAAATATTCCTGTCAACTTCGAAATTTCCCTTTATAGTTTAAGAACAAGCTTTTATATGTTAGCTTGAGAAATGGTCCAATCTAAAAGTCAGATCATGGTGAAAAAGGCGATAAATTGAAAATTCCAAGTAGATTTTCTTCTCTGTCCATATACATCATGGGAAGTATTTTCAAACGATTATGATTTGAATTATGAAGTTATGATGAATTTGTTAAAAGTTACCCTTTCAGGTCACACTCTGGCCAATCAGAAAAGGTCACGGGTTCTTTTATGAGAAAAATCCGCTGGTACCGGTAAGTTGTCTGGGAATACTTTCCTGTGAAAAACTTAGGTCGGCTTTGTTTCAGGGTGCATTCACGTTCGGACATCCTGGCTACGGTGGTCAATTTGTACATGTGGATCCTGCAAATCAGATGGTACTCACTTACGTATCGAATGGTTTGAAGACAGGCACCGGAGAAGTGTGTACCACGTATATGAGGTTGCTACAATCCACTTACAATGCACTCAAAGCTCAATAGCCTGGACGAATTTTATGAAAGTGGCTACGGTCAGAAACTCGATGGATGTCTTCAACAGTAGAAATTTTCATTACTACATTGTAAATATTCGAATTGCTCACGCGTCTCGCCTTGAATGCCTTTCAATCTATGATACCGTGTTGGCTAAGACACCTTGATTCCTCAACTGAACTGCCCCTCCAAATCCATGTAAATGTGTCGCAGCTCTCAAAACTTCGCCAAGCTCTTCGTACCTAAGAATTTGTTTGTTCACAACTATCACTACACAACCTTTCGATCTTATTGCCGACTCCAGGTTACGAATGTGTTCCACTCTTATCTATTCCTTATATTGAAGAGATAAATGCGCTTAATAAAGTGTTTGCCATACATCTTCGCCTTTTTTGTTATTGTGCGAGCGATAGTTCTTATTCTAAGAAGGGAGCAGAATCTAGACATGGGAAGACCGACAGCACCATTAGTGGACGCAAAGTATTGAATTTCAGAGTTTCACTCATGCGCTTAACTATCTCTCCCATCATTTTGAACTAAGCGACATTTCATATTCTGGTAATCCCAGCACTTTTTCATTCGAATCATTTCCTCGTATCAATCATCCATAATCTTCGGACTGGCCTGTGTGTCCCAGTACTTCGTATGTTGATCATCTTTATTAATGTCGTTGAATGGCAGTTGAGTTGATTCTACCCAATAGTATTAAGGCTTTCATTGTATCAAGTCTTGCAAGCAGATAGTCGCTGACCTGGAGTGGATCTTTCAACGGTCTAGTTCGGTTCCAATCTGGTCATCTCGAAAGGATGCGAGATTTGGTTGGTCGGTGGTGTGATGAACCAGAACTCTGCATTATTGAACGGCTCCTCTACCACTGTGTTATGCACACTTTAATAATACATTGAGCCGATTCCCACTAGTTTCAAATGTTTCGGCTATCACGTTTCAAAACCGCGACCATAAGATCAGAAATATTTCCTGATGTAATTTCGTCTTCTGATTTTCAAGTACAGAAGATGAAGACAATAGATGTGCTTGTCACCATTTACACCCATGTATTTTAAAGTAAACGTAGATAGCTTGTAACCCGGACAATCAGAAGAATTATGTAGTTAAAAAATTGGAAAACATTCACCTATCACCTGTATCACCTGTAAATCCGTTGATCGTCGAGTGACTCGAGCGGGAGCCAGTAAATCTTCTACTTTTCCCTGTTGTGTGCAAAAGTGGCCCAGCGGGTTCTGCTCGCTCTAGGGAATCGTCGAGCATCATATCTTTCTTCAAGGCTCCTCGTGAAAAACTTTGACCATCAGGTCGGTGGTCTTCCTGCAGTACGTTTGACATCCAGAGGAAACCGGTCACTAACCCCTGCTGTCCATCGGTTGTCATTTATACGCATTACGTGCCCGGCCCACCTTATCTTCGACTGTTAGGCCTACAGAATGGCATCTTTGATTTTTGATCGTTGACGCATGTCGGAGCTTCGGATCCCATCCCTTACTTCTGTGGAACGGGATAGTCCTATCGTCCTTTCGACTGCGCGCTCGACAACGCTGAGTGACCTTTCATCCTGTTTACGCAGCGACCAGGTTTTTGACGCATACGTTAGGGCAGGAACTACCGTTGAGTCGGAAAGATGGGCACGGAATCGGGTGTTTCTTGTTCTCTTCACTACATCCTCGATGCTCTTGAAAGCTCCTCATGCCACTCGTTTCCTTCTGCTCAACTCTGGAGCTAAGCCGTTCAAAATGTTGATTTCCCGACCTAGATAGATATAACTGGATCGTTTTGAGATGTTCGTTCCGTTGAGCGTGAATGGAGCATATGGAACCAATCCGTTCTCCATAAACATCGTTCTTTTTTTGAGATCTAGTCGAAAGACCAATCTTTCCACAGGCTTTATCAAAGTCGGCAAGTATACGTTCCGCTTGGGTAACGTTTGGTGTTATAAGAACGATGTCAACAGCCAAGCGAAGATGATGTAACTGCCGATCATCGATTTTCACTCTCATATTATCCCATTCCAATGTTCGCATGACCGTATTGGTGGGTGGCGGTAATTATGGCCTTGCCAACCTCTCTTTTGAGATCAATGTTAATATCGTTGTTGAATGGTGATATCTTGGTTGTGAAATTTTTGGACAGCTCGCGAAGACTCTTTATGTACTGAGTAGGGATGGCTTGGCTATCAAGGGCTTCCATGATTGCTTCTGCCTCAGTTGAGTCAAATGTCTTATTTAAATCGATAAAAGTGAGGTAGAGCGGTCTTTTCTACTCTTGCGATACTTCAATGAGTCTTGTTATCGTGTGGATGTGGTCCATCGTACTAAATCCTTTTCGAAACCATGCTTGCTCACATGACTGTTCTTCGTCCAACGTTCTGTTAATTTTGTTTAGGATGACTCGAGTGAAAAGTTTGTAGACAACAGACAGCAAGCAGATTGGGCGAAAGTTGCCTATATCGTGTAGATCACCTTTCTTGAACAATGACACGATCTTGCTGGTCTTCCACTAAGTAGGGACCTTGCATTCAGAGAGGAAACGTGTGAAGAGCCGAGCCAATGTGTTTACGAGGACTGGCGAAAGGTTCTTCAAGTGTTCTGACCTTATCCTGTCCGGACCTGGTGCTGTTCGAATTTTCACCGACGAAATGGCATATCGGATTTCGGAAGGGAGAACCGGTAGTACAACATATCGATCGTCCTTTATTTAATATAACGGAAGGTGGGCATGGTTATCGAAGAGATCTGAGTAGTATTCGTGAATGATTTTCTTCATTGCCTTTCTGGACGCTGTAACTGTTCCGTCTGGGCGTCGGAGTCCAATCATCTTGGTCATATAATTGGCGAAGCTTTAGTGGGCTTTGCGAATGATTTTCCCAGCCTCTGCAGCTTCGGCCTTTACTGCTGCTCTTCTCTCTTTAAGATCCTCTTTTATTGCCCGTCTTCATAGTTTTGCAAGTTCGGACGTTAGATCGGGTTCGGATAGGTAGTTTTCCTACAGTATGTTTGACATCACACGGAATCCAGTCGCTAACGGCTCTTGTTCATCGGCTGTCGTTCATGCGCATTACGTTTCCGGCACACCTTATCTTCGACAGTTTGGCATATAAAACGACGTCCTTGGTTTTTGGTCGCTGACGTAGATCCGAGCTTTGGATCCATTATCTCACTTGCGCTATATGAGATACTCCTAGCATCGTGCTTTTAACTGCGCGTTCTATAACATTCAGTGATCGCTCATTCTGTAGCTTCCAGATTTCTGGTGCATACGTTAAGGCAGGAAGAACCATGGAGTCGAGTGTTCTAGCTCCCCTCACTTACATGCTCGATGGTCTTGAACTCTGCCCAAGCAGCTTACTTTCTCCTGCTGAACTCTGGAACTGAGTCATTCATCATGTTGATTTGCCGACCTAGATAGACGTACCAGAACTCGGAGACATTCATTCCGTTAAGCGTTAATGAGTCATGCGAAGCCAACCCATTCATCATGAATATCATTCCTGTGAGATTTAGCAGAAGACCAATCATTCCATAAGCGTTATTAAGGTTGGCTAACCTGGCTAATGGTTGTCGTTATAAGGATGATCTCTTCATCAAATCAAGGATGGTGTAATTGCCAACCATCGATTTTCACTTCTATGTTGTCACGTTCCATTGTTCTCATGGCGTTCTCTATGGTGGCGATAATAATTTTGGCAAGATGGTACCACACTGCGTAACTTCTCTTTTGACATGCTGATGTGAATATCACTGTAGAATGGTGACATTTTCGTTTTCAAATTTTTATGTGGCTCATGAAGAATCCTTATGTACTAGGAAGGGAA